ATTGGAAAGGTAGAGTCATAGAGAGGAGACACAGAGGTTTTTCCATCCGCAGTTCACTCCCCCAAGTGGCTGCAACGGCAGGAGCTGAGCCAGTCTGAAGCCAGGGGTCTCCCACAAGGAGACTGCAGGGGCCCAAGGCTTTGGGATATCCTCTGCTTTCCCAGGTCATAAGCAGAGAGCTGGATAGGAAGTGCAGCACCTAGGATTCCAACAGGTGCCCATATGGGATGCTTGCCCCTCCTCTTCTTTTCTTTCTTTTTTTTTTCCCAAAGATTTATCTGGGAGTCAGCACCGTGGTCTATGGAGTTAAGCTACTTCTTGAAATGCCAGCAACCCCTATGGGTGCTGGTTTGAGTTCTGGCTGCTCAACTTCTGATCCCGCTCCCTGCGAGAATCCCAGAAAGAGTAGCAGAAAATGGCTGAAGTCCTTGGGTCCTTGTTACCTCTGTGGGAGAAGCTCCTGGCTTCAAATGGCTCAGCTTCTGCTGTTTCAGCCATTTGGGGAGTGAACCAGAGTATGAAAGGTCTGTTTCACTCTCTGTGTTTCTATGCCTGTCAAATAAATACATGGCACTTAAAAAAAGTTAATTTATTTGAAAGGCAAAGTTACAGACACACAAAGAAAATAATCCACCCTGGGTCTGGCGCGCTGGCCTAGTGGCTCAAATCTTTGCCTTGAATGCACCAGGATCCCATAAGGTTATTGATTCTAATCCTGGAGGCCCTGCTTCCCATCCAGCTCCTTGCTTGTGGCCTGGGAAAGCAGTCGAGGACGGCCCAAAGCCTTGGGACCCTGCAACCACAGAGACCCAGAAGAGGCTCCTGGCTCTAGATAGGCGCAGCACTGGCCACTGCGGTTACTTGGGGAGGGAATTATCGGACAGAAGATCTTCCTGTCTCTCCTCCTCTCTGCATATTTGCCTTTCCTATAAAAAATAAATCTTAAAAAAGAAAGAAAGAAAGAAAGAAAATAATCCATCCCCTCATCACCCCCCAAATGACTAGGAATGAACCAGGTTGAAGTCAGAAACCCAGAACTCCATCTGGATCTCCCACGTGGGTCGCAGGGGCCCAAACACATGGGCCATTTTCTACAACCTTCCCAGGCACATCAGCAGGGAGCTGGTTGAGAAGTGGAGCAGCCGGGACTTAAAGTGAGCACTTGAAATGGGTGCCAGGATCCTCCCAAAAGCTTACCCATGTGTGCCACAAAGCCAGCCTTTAGTGCTTCATTAAGAAATTGCTGGTGTAGCACATTAAGCCTCCTCCTGCAGTACCAGTACCCCATTTCAGCACTAGTTTGAGTCCTGGGTACTCCACTTGTGATCTAGCTTCCTGCTAAAGCACCTAGGAAAGCACCATTAAGATGGCTCAGGTGCTTGGCCCTGTGTCCCCATGGGATGGCTCAGGTGCTTGGCCCTGTGTCCCCATGGGATGGCCCAGGTGCTTAGGCCCTGCATCCGCATGGGAGACCTGAAAGGAGCTCCTGGCTCAGCCCTGGCCAATGCAACCATTTGGGGAGTGAACCACAGGATGGAAGATCTTTCTGTATCTCCCTCTCTCTAACTCTGCCTTTCATCTAAATAAACAGTTAACAAATAATCGTTTAATCCATTATCACAAAATTTGTCTTGTTATACAAATAATATACATTTTACTGGAGATACTTAAAAATGTGAGAATATAAAACTGAATGTCAGCATTTTCCATAAGCTTTAAAGACTATAAATACCAACTTTAGTGCTTTTTTCCTCTGCTGCTTCCCCAAGCGCACAAGCAGGGGCGGGAACTCGTTATGTCACAGTGCTGGCCATTCAACTTTAATCCTTAAGACTATTTAGAAACTCATTTCTATTAGTTCCATCTTCTTTACTTCAAGTAAAGGAATTTTTGCTAAGGAGACAGCAAAATGTCCTTTCTAAGTGGGGCTCACTAATGTGTATCCCAGACAGCCCTCCGACACGTACTCATTTCCCCTATACGCAACAGACAAGATGTATAAACCATACACATAACTTCAGACACTGCAGCTGAGGAACTGAAAGAAAAAAGCGTGCAGAATTCCTAGAATCGCATTGCAATGATTACTCCTGAAAGTGCCTATGTGAGCACAGCAGGGTGCAAATTAGAACCAGGTTAACTCGGACACAGAAATTACAACTGAGACACAGATCCGCTTCCATGATCTCCTTTCTTCACACACCTCTGGATGTGTATTGAGAAAAAACAATCTTAATTTCTTTTACAAGACTTGGATGTTTTAAATGGATGACAAAATGTTCAAGGAAAAAAACTAAAATATGTTTTATTGGTGAAAATATGTAGAAACTCATACACAGCTTGGCAACAAAAAAGCTTATGGAAAACATAATAGTATGAAAAAAATTACAAATGGATTTCAACAGGTTCTTAAAGATTGATTCTATTTCTATTGAAAGGCAAATTTACAGAAAGATTTTCCATCCACTGGCTCACTCCCCAAATGGCTGCAATGGCCACGGCTGAGTCTGTCTAGTCAGGGCCTTCTTCCAGTCCTCCCACGTGGGCACAGGGGCCGAAGGATTTGAGCCATCTTCCTCTGCTTTTCCAGTACACAAGCAGGGAGCTTACAGGAAGTGGAGCAGCCAGGACACAAACTGGTGCTGGCATTTGCAGGTGAAGGATTAGCCTGTTGAGCCACCACACCAGCCCCTCAACATCTTTTAATAACAGTTTCTCAAACTTTGTGAAGTATATCCACAGCATTTAATTTACTGAAATTTACCTTAGGTCTATGTCAAAACAGAACGTTTGGAGGCTTCCAACACAGATAAAAAGAAGAATACTCATATTACTTTTCCATCATAGTTTTTCAATTGAGAGAAGACTAAACTCAGTAGTCCACTATGTAAAGGATCCAAAAAAACTTCCAGATAAACCCTTTAAAATAGTCAAGTACTGATTAAATGTCTTTAGCAGGGAAGAGGACATCAATCTGTTTCTATCGTGAGCACAGATGGAGGTCTCAAAAACTCAAGCGAGCCCAGCAATAACTGCGCCTTCAAGGAGACATAAGAACAGAAAATAAAACACGATCTGAGAGAAACGAAGTTGTCTGGGAAATTCAGGGGAAAGGCAACAGGACCACACACTCCAAGACTGAATACACACTGTCACTTAATGCTACAACCTCCTAACAAGCCGGGGTACCGCTCACGGGGTAACTGCTCCCTGCGGAGCCCATTAAAGGGTAGGAGTGTGCTGCGCACAACAGCAACGACGTGATTGTACGGACACAAAAAATCAAGGAGGGGGTCCCTTTCTTAAGTTCTGCGTCGCCCTTTTTCTTAAAACAGCCAAGTTTATCCCAAAGTAAACAGGGAGATGAGGGCCTGCCGGACCAGGGTTTAGAAAGCTGAATGACTGGAATTTGTCTCCTGAGGAGGGCAGATAGCAAATAGGAAGTGCTTACACATTTTGAGTTGGCACACACATAACTCAAATGCAGCCAAGAGCCACTGTCTTGCCAATCTTAGGAAAGCAGCAGCTCAGCCTTGGTTACCAAGGAGAATCGTCATCAGGGTGTGCACCTGCAGCAGTCACTACACTGTATCCATCGCAAACCCCTAGGAAATTAACAAGATGCAGAGTGTGTAAAGGAGGTGTAATTAGTAATTTGTAAAACATCTGGCAACAAAAATCCCATTTCCTTAGTTCTGGCTTGCGTTCTATTTTAAGAAAGTCAACATAAAATTAACAGGTGTCCAAAAAGTGGCCCGTTCTATCACATCTGATGAAATCACCACAGTCAGTAGCACATTAACAAGAATGCAATTATTTCCGCAAGGGCAGCCACAGGTATCCAAGATAATTAGCTTATTTTGAGCACCAACACCATCAGAGCCCCAAATTTAACTGTCTGGAAAGGCAACAATTCCGAATTTTCAGAGTTCTCAAATTATCTGAAATTCTCTCTCTACTTCACACAAACACAAAAATGTAAAGTTTTCACCGACCCCCAAATGGCTTGCAGAGCTCAAAAACAACAACGGAAAAGAATGCTGTTCCAAAAAGTGACATTACACAATCCACGTGCGAATGCAAACCCACTGTCCACCCCAACACAGATCCATCAGCAGGTGGCTGGAGGCAGCCCGGCCCCAGTCCTCAGGCTGCGACCTAGGAAAGCCGGGCTACCAGGGGACAGGGGGAGAAGGCAGCTTCTGCTGACTTGGGTAGCAAAGGGTGCCTGCTAATTTCACAAACAAAAACGTAAACCAAGCAAACCACCACTCCGGGCTAATGACCGAAGCCAGAGTCAAAGTTCCATCACGTAACTCGGGCCTGGGCCCTTTTTTTTTTTCTCGAACAAATACGTAATCGAAAACATAACTCATTTTCCTCTTGTTATTTTACTCATGCGGGCGACACTACTCAGACCGAAAAAGCAGCAAACCCTAAGAAAAACACCACCGAAGTGGAGGTTGTTGCTAAGGACCCAGTCTCCTTCCCCAGCAGCGCCCGCCGACCAGGATTTAAAGTGTGGCGTTCTCCCTGGCTGGGGTTCGGGTCTCCAAATCGCCCCCCGGAGGTGGAGGTGGGGGGCAGCACTGTCCGGCCGCGGGGGAAGACGCCGGACAGCACGTAGCGCCGGGCGCCAAGGGACCTCCGAGGCTCCGAGAACTTTCCGTCCCGCTGCCGAGGCCCCTTCCTGCAGCCCTCGCCCAGGCGCGAACTTTGCAAACCGCCGGGGAGCCCGGGGTCCCGCACCCAGCGGCGGTCTCGGCGCGCTCCGGCGCCCAGTCTCAGCCGCCCGCCTTCCTCCCCATCCCGCCCGGCCGCCCGCACCCACGGCCCGAGGGAGCCGGCTGGGCCGTGGGGCCGTCCGGGGGAACCCACCAAGAAGCCTACGAGGTCTCCGTCGGCCTTCCCGGCGCCGCCCGTGTCCACCCCCTCCCCGCCCGGTCCCGAGCTCCCCGGCTCCGAGCGGCCGGCGGGGCCTGTGCCGCGCGCCCCCTCACCTTGGTGGCCATGGCGGGCGGATCCCCCGGCCCGGGACGGCCGGCTCGTCTCCCGCGTCGCGGCTGGGGTCGGCCCGATCCGGGCAGGCGAGGCTGGCGGCAGCGGCTCGGGCCCCGGCGGCGGCTCCGCCTCAGCCCCGACTCACGGCGCTCAGGCCCCGCCGCTGGCGCTCGGCGACTCCAGCCGCCGCCCGCTCCTGCAGTTCCTGAAAGTCCCCGGCTGCGCGGCCCCCGCCCCTGCCGGCCAAGCCTCCCATTTACCGCGGCGTGCGCGGCGCGGCCGGCGGAAGCGCGCCCGGGGCCCTCGGCCGCGGCGGCCCGGCCTCCTCAGCCACCCGCCGCCCCCGCGCCCGGCCTCCGCCCCGGGCCGCCGCCGCCGCCTGCCGCCTCGTGTTCGAGACTGGGGGGCCGCGTCCCGAGCGGCGGCTGGCGCCCCGGGTCACGACCCCGGCCCGCGGCCGCATGGCCGCCCCGCGGCGCGTGTGTGTGAGGGGAAGGAGCGGCCCCGGTGGCCGAGCCCGGACGCCCTCGGCCACGGCCGGCGCCGCACGCCGGCTCCGCGGCTTGCCGGTGCGTGTGGCGGGAGAGGGGCGACAATGACTCGAGACGAGCCCCGGCGGGACGGGAGTCTGCCGGCCGGGATCTGGACTCCCAGCGGGGTCGCCGGTGCCCGGGCCCGAGTACGCTGGGGCCACACACGCGTCCTGCGAGCAGCCCAGCAATGGCTTCCAGCTCCCGGTGGCCCTTCTGGGAGCTTCTGCCGCCCGCCCGCGGTTTCCCTCAGACACTGATACCCCAGCCCTGAGCCTCCTCTTCTGAATTCTTGATACATTTAAAGATGCCTCGGGACTTCAGAGGTTTGGTGGGAGAGACACAGTTTTCATGAAATGGAAATGAGAAATCTAAAATTTTCCATCTTGTCATCAAAGTGGGGCTTTTTCTCCCCACATTTGAATTTATGGGCTATATTCATAAACGAATGATTTAAATTGGGCAAGATTTTTCACTCAAGTCCAAGACACCTAAGGCATGTATGCCCTTGCTAGAATAATATCACATATGATTACAACACACAATATTACAATACTAACTTGTCAAGTCAAGGCAATTAAGCTAGGAAAATGTGAACCCACAGTTAACATCTGGAGATTCTACTAATTAATCGTGGGTGTGCAAGTGTTGCCACAGAATTTTCTGTGGATCTCTGTTAAGCTCACTTTTGAAGCTGTAGTCATGATTTTTCATAGAGTTGTGCTCTTAACAAAAAATAGATTGTAGACCAGCGTTCTACTTGGAATATACTGCACTTTTTCCCATCTCACTTAATCCCTGTAAGAAGCTTCGAGAAATTCACTGTGTGCTATTTACAAAGATGAACAAATCAGGACTCACTGAATGTGTGCAATTTGATCATACTGAGTTGAAAGTGACCGTAACATTGAAACTGGAAAAGGACCACGTTATTGAGGCCAGGCCATTCTGTTTCTAGGAATTCTCCTGACCTGTAACAAATAAAGATACTCATCAAAAAGCGTTGTTCTGTGAGGTCCCCAGAGAGCAACCTGTACTCGTGGACAATGACAGTAAATCACTTCATATAAACCAACTTCTGGGAAGTTCCTAAGAAAATAATGATCAGGGCCAGAGTTGTGGTGCAGTGGCTTAAGCTTCTGCCTGTGACATCAGCATCCCATGGGAGCACCAGCTTTGTCCTGGCTGTGGTGCTTTGCATCCAGCTCCCTGCTGACCGGCCTGGGAGGCAGCAGATGATGGGGCCTCTGCCATCTTTGTGCGAGACTGGGTGGGGTTTTGGGCTTCAGGCTTCAGTCTCACGCAGCACTAGCTGTTGTGACCATTTGAGGAGTGAACCATAGGATGGAAAACTTTGGGTCTTACTCTGCCTCTCTCTCACTGTCTTTCATGAAAATAAATAAATCTTTTTTTTAAAGGAGTGATTTAAAGTATATGAAGAGATGTGTATATATTGCATGCAAATACAGTTCCATTTTATTTTTAATATTTTTTTAAAAAACTTGATTTTGGATGTCAGAGAGACAGAGCTCTCCCATCTGCTGGTTCACTTCCCGCGTGAAGGTCAGGTGTGGCCAGGGGACTGGAGCTCCATCTGGGCCTCCCACAGGAGAGCAGGGATCCAGGTGCCTGAGTGATGTGCGTTCAGCGGAGAGAAAGGCTATCTCAGGGTGGCCTTGAGAAGGGCCGTGTGAAGAGGGCGCAGGTGCCTTTTCCAATCCCCATAAACACAGTCAGTTCTCCCTTGAGATTGGATAATGTAACAGGTGTTGGAGATAAAAGTTCTTGATCCCTTACAACTTGGATTCTGCAGAGAGTGGGGGAAGACAAGCTTGAAGCAGAGCTGTCAGGTGCTTGAATATGTGTTGTGAAGAATAAAGCAGCTTCACCTTACAGGAACAGACACGTGGCACTCATTACAGGAGGCATTCCCTGGCTGTTGTTGGGCTGGCTGCATAGAGGCATGCACAAGTGTATCCGTTTTATTTTGTTGTAGTTGATTAGCTAATTGGTTTTGGTTTTTCTCCTATTCTTATCAAGTTGCTGCTTTCTATCCACTGCCTACAAGACAGCCATGAACAGCGGACATGATGTTGAAATCTTGAACTCTGGGCCCGGCGCGGTGGCGCAAGTGGTGAAAGGTCCTCACCTTGCACGCCCAGGATCCCATATGGGCGCCGGTTCTAATCCCGGCAGCCCCGCTTCCCTTCCAGCTCCCTGCCTGTGGCCCGGGAAAGCAGTTGAGGACGGCCCAAAGCTTTGGGAACCTGCACCCATGTGGGAGACCCGGAAGAGGCTCCTGGCTTCGGATCGGCATAGTATTGGCTCGTTGCGCTCACTTGGGGAGTGAATCATTGGACAGAAGATCTTCCTCTCTGTCTCTCCTCTCTGTATATCTGCCTTTCCAATGAAAAAATAATAAAAAATAAATCTTTAAAAAAAAAAGAAATCTTGAAGAACTCTAACAGGACTCTGGTCGCCAGACGTGAGCAGCCCGGGGAGGGATGGTAGGCATGAGTGGGAAGAGCACTCTGTGAGGCTCACAGATGGCGCTAGGAACACAGGCAGCGGACACTGGCACGGGGACTCTGTGTTCTTGGAACTTGCTAGACAGTTTGCCAACCGGGAAAGTCTTGACTCCCAGCAGGAAGGCTAGGAAAAGTGCAGTGCTGGGGTTTGAATATTAGTTTGGGTGTTTCCCCCAAAAGGCCGTGGGTTAAGGGCTTGGTCCCTGGTGCTGCTTGGGGAGGAGGGGCGGGAGAAGGGTTAAGCGGTAGGACCTAGTGGGAGGTCCTTAGGTAACTGGGAGCTGCTGTTCAAAGAAAAGCTCAGAGGCTCAGTTTGACACGTTTTATTTACTTATTTAAGATTTAATTTTATTTTTATTAGAAAGGCAGATCTACAGAGAGAAGGAGCTATAGGAAAATCTTCCATCTGCTGGTTCCCTATCCAAGTAGCCACAATGGCCAGAACTGAGCCCATTCGAAGCCAGAAGCCAGGAGCCAGGAGCTTCTTCTGGGTCTCCCAGATAGGTACAGGGTCCCTAGGCTTTAGGCCATTTTCCACTGCTTTCTCAGGCTACTAACAGGAACTGGATGGGAAGTGGAGCAGCCAGGACATGACCTGCACCCCATGGGACCCCTGGTGTGCAAGGGGAGAATTCAGCCACTGAGCTTTCCTGCGAGCCCTGGCCTGTTTTAATCACATTGTCTGCTTCCTGGTCAGCTCAGGGATCCTTGCTCTACTTGTCCTCCACCAGCCCTTCAAAGAGTTTTCTGATCTTGAACTGGCACCTCAGGCTAATTAAGCATTTTGTTGTTGTGTATCAAGTTAGCTACCGCTGGTATTTATTTCATTATAGGAACAAAAAACCGGCTAATACAGGCAGTAATAGACTGGCTCAGCTCTCGTCATCCCAGAGCACCTCCAGCCTGGGGCCTCTCTAGCCTTGCCCTCTAGTGCCACCTCGACCCTCTGCCCGGCATGAACAGCTCCCTGGCACTTCCTTGCCAGCATGTTTAGTGTTCAGTAATGGGCACCAAGAAGTGAATTGCTTTCCCGGCATGGAGCTGGGTGGAAATGGAGCAGCAGGGATACGAACCGGCACTCATATGGCATTCTGGGGCATGCAAGGTAAGGACTTTTGCCACTAGGCTACCGCACTGGGGACCTCCCTCCAGAGTCTTGTACCTCCACAGGTTTTTGATCAGAAAGGTCACTGATGCTGATTGCTAAATGCTGAGCAGGCGGCTCAGGCCCTGCAGGAGGCGGCTTAGCTTCAAAGTCATTTCTGTCGCTTACCAACTCTGTGATCTTGAACAGATTGTTAAGTCATTTTTATTTTGGACTTAAAGTTTCTTTTGGTGCAAAAAAAATCGGAAATTTGTGCGTGGTTTTATAATAAGTATTTTCCATAAGTGTTCTCTGTGTGTGTGCTTCACAGCCATCAGAATCCTGTTTTATAAACCTTAGCCAGTTTGTCTCACTACTTGAAAAAGCAACTTGCCATTATGCTGCTCATTTGGGCCCTTCCTTGCAGATTTTTAAAATCTTGATCCTGGTACCAGCTTCCGTATTAGCCTGTTGAAACTGTTATAACAAAATATTAGAGACCAGACCGCTTATAAATAACAGACTCCCGTGCCCCGTCGTTTGCTGCAGACTGGGATGTTAAGGATATGTCTCTGAGGCTTCGGGGTCTGTGAGAGCTTGTTCCCTGATTCTTTTGTGGCACCCTTCCTGTGACCTCACAGAAGGGTATGTGGTCTCTTTGGGGCCTCTCTTGGAAGGGCACTAACCCACCTACATGAGCAATGCCCACCAAGGCCTCACCTCCCAACACCGTCACATTAAGAGTTAGGATTTGAACATACGGATTTGGGGGCACACACTTGTGTAGTCTGTAGCATGATGGTATTGCCCTGAGATCATCCCAGCGAACCAACTCTTGCCTGGAGTGCAGCAGCACTGCTCTAGCAGCTTCTGGGCGTTAAGTAGTTATAAAAAACCCGTGCACGTGGCGGGTGCCAGTCTTAGCACAGCTCCCGGTTCTGTAGCACGCTTCCTGGAATGCTGTTCTACAGTGACCACTGTGCATTTATTGCCCATGTCGGAACCTGTATTTGCTCAC